TAGGGGAAAAAAATGAATCCCCAAGGGACCTGGAATTTGCGATTAAATATCATCTTAAGGTGGAAAGGGGAGGGGAGTGGCAGGCCTCTTAGGGGATTTTTAGGAAAGATGAATGTCTCCAGAGAAGAATAGATGGGAGGTATGATAGTCTGTGACAACATCTGTCTAGCTGTGGTATTGACTTCTAGTCTCCTCTCCTGTCACAAAAGTTAGTCCTCTCCAGTTGGTGAAACTCCCAGGGAAGGGATTTATGGCAATTGAGTTCCTTTTGGAGGATCTGTGTTTAGGCAGATAAAGGGAGTTAGAGAAAGGCTATCCCTGCATTTGCTCTTTTTCAAATGCCTACAACTCAATCAATACACCACAGCAGCATATTTTGCAGTGGCATGTCCTGCACTCCCATGGTCATATTTTGGGGTGGCATATCCTGCCACCCTCCAGAGGCAAAAGGAGACTCACAAAGTTTCATTCAGCCAGCAAATGGCGTTAAGATGCTGCAGACTGTGGTCCCTGTCCTCATGCAGGGAAAGGCCACCATTGAGGGAAGACAGAGATAAAAGTAGGACAAAGATACCAAAGAAAAGAAAATAGTAGAATTCCATTTGAAAGGAGTGAGGAATTTCAGTGATGGCTAAATTAGTACAGTGCTTGTGTTAATATAAGTTATTTAGAAATGAGTTTAAATCCCAGCCATCTGCTCCCACGTCAAACACATACACACTGTACCCTTGATTTCACTCCTCCCCCACATACACGCACATCCCAATAATAATCTGATGATATAGTTTCATGATTTCCCAGTTGATAATGAAAATTTACCTAATTCAAACCAATGAATTGTGACCCAGATCTAAGTATAAATATAGTGGAAGTCATAAGTTTCTTTAGTGACAGTCTTACTAATTAAGTTATTTTGGCCTGTTTTTAGCCACACTGGGTATTTTTTCTTTTTAAGGTTGTTGTGAATGTTGTTTGTAGCAGCATCAATAAGCCAAGAATTCACATAGTTACTCAATCACACAGATTACTCATCATTGCCTGTTCATAACAGAATCCTAAAATGTTTTAAGATTTCTGATGCAAATCAAAATCTCATCATCACTTGTCATTGCTAAATTAAATGACAGGATAATAACATTACATTAAAACCATTTTTCTCTTGATTGAGTACCTTTTTCAGAAGTGAACCTTGTAGATATATATTTTTTTCATCAGTACTATAAATGCATTTAGAATCTGAGATAAAAATAGAATTGAAAAGGGGAGGAGTGGAGTGGGATGTTTTCAAATTATTGATGAATCTCTTGAATCTCAAATAACCATATTTGACAGTGCACTGCTAGGCAATTGAGGAGATTTAGCCCAGTTTACTGAGACTTTTAGAACTACAGAAAGGTGGTTTACAGGTCAAACTTGGTTTTTATTGACATGATCCTATGTTCTTGGCATCAATCACATGGCATTCCCATTGCAAACAGGCTGTTAGGGACCTGTAGGAACTGGCACTGTTCTATTACTCTAATATAAGATGATACTGGTTTCAAATAGATCATAGCCTATTTGGGAAAGGAATATAAATTTCTAATCTGCTAAAACAGTAGGTTTTCATTGACTTATTGTGAACTTCTCTCTTGGCCTTTCTTTCCTGACCTTTTTGGTGACACCTGCCATCCCTCCATTGGCTCCATTTGGCCCTTGCCCACTCCTTTCTGGCTAGTCAACCAGTCCTCATGCCACTTGAGCCTATCTTCTTCACTTGCCCCTATACCCAGAACTCCTTTTCAGTCATGTCAGTAAAAATCCTTAGCTCTTGGAGAAGTCAGTGAAGGTATAGTATAGACTGAAACAAGATTGGCCATGAGTTGACAGTAGATGAATCTGGGTGATGGGTACATGGTGGTAGGGGAAGTCAGTATACCATTTTCTCTAGTTTTATATGTTTGGTATTTTCTCTAGCAAAAACGTTAGACTAAACTTAGATTTTTAGAATCCGTTTTTTTAAATAGATGCCTTTTTGAGTCAGTGCATGAAATGGGTGGTGTACAGGATAGATTAGGACTAAAACCTAATCCTGCCGTCTAAATACCCCACTCCCACTCCACCCAAGGAAATAAATAAGATTCGTTAGTGCCTGGAGTTGCAACTTCCCTCTTCTCCTTAGGTCCTGAACCTGATTCCCCGAATTCTGGCACACTTCCTGCTTCTTCTTCAGTGACCAGACAGACCTGTACAGAAACACACATTAACTTGGTCCCGTTTAGTAAGTCCCAGCTGTAAATAAAGTTCTGGGCTGGGCATTACAAAGGGAAATATGAAGTTACTTCCCTCCAA